TCTTCACTGAAACACAGTAGCGAAACGCGGGCATTGCGTCACTTGGTCCTCGCTACACTAGCACGTCACGGTGAGACTATTCACCCTTTCTGTCTAGTAAAATAAAACATTTATTAATCGACAGTGTGACAAAATCAGGATGACACCAATATCATGGCTGGGAACAATTATCACTGAAGCTTTCGAACCGAGTATCCGAAGTAGGCGTAGCAGGCAATTACACCGCCAGTTGTGAAAGTACGCAAATTACTGGAGCAACCAGCACTCGGAGGTTCGCATACATCGCGAGTTCCACCAGACTGTCCTTTATTAATTTCTTTACATTGCCACAGTCCTTTCTCAAGTTTTCTTATCACCCCGTTATGCTGTATGCAATTCTCAGCGCAAACCGCACCTACAGTGTTCCAGAAGTTTCGAGGCTTTAGTACCTCATTTCGTTCAGATTACGCCCACTTCGTGAGCATTTCAGATTATTCTAGAATATACGTCGCCGCTAGCGATAACGCAGAATGTTCGATGGCAAGTGTATAAATGCAACATGCTTTGCCGCTTGTCAGTTGATGGACGGCCGGCGCTCTGCTCGCCGGTATCAGTGCCAGCGTCTTGCAGTAATCTAACTTTCCTTTACGTGGCCACAACTTCAGTCATAACAGTTCTTTATTCGACCCGCAGTCTGCTCTATTCGTCCCCGTCACGACCTCGTGACAATATTGAAAGAAAGAATGGGTAAATGATGACCATAGAGTTTCCTAATATACACTGGAGGGAACTCTGGCGCTAGTGTCTGTGGGAGCTGCAATGCACGGCGCTTCAGCGAGCATGGGAATGATGGGTAGTACACACATTTGTCTAATATTCGTACTTCTGGCCTGCTTTTGGTTCCGTGTGGCTTCAAGCTGTTTTCTCACGAAACAAACATTAGCAAATGTTCAGCGGTTGCGCTTCACCATCTTATTTTTTTAGACTTGCCTTTCCAAAACCGATCAAAAAGTTTAAAAGGGTTGAATCTTCTTTCAAACAAAACCGAAACACGGCAATAAACGAAGCCGCAAGTACGATTGGCCACCCGCAAGTATGAAGACTAGGCAAATGTGTGTACTACCCACCATTCCCATGGTCGCTGAACGATCGCAGAACCAGAGTCCCCTCTAGTTAATTTTAGGAAACTCTATAATGATGACATGCGGACGTTGCGAGAAGCATGCGACATGCTGCCAGCGCGTCACCACTGTGTTGCAGTGAAGCACATTTTGTTTTCCGCAGGCACAAAGTTTAGCTGATCACGAGGCCAGCTTTTTTTTTTCCTTTCAAAATTTTATTTTTCATGCAACTAGACGCCGAATTTAGCGAAGCGGAAATTCGGGCAGTCCTTTTTGAACTAAACACCCGATCGGCGCCCGGCCTGGACCGGGTTTCGAACAAGGCTCTCCGCAACTTAGATGACGAGTCAATCTCCCGATTTGTGACTTATATCAACGAGTACTGGCAACGCGGTTCCCTTCCTGAAGCGTGGAAAAGAGCTCGAGTTATCATGATTCCTAAACCGGGCAAGCAGGTTGCGCTTGATAATCTAAGGGCAATTTCGCTCACGTCGTGTGTAGGAAAAGTTCTGGAGCACGCAGTCCTCAAACGCGTGACTGACTTTCTCGAAGTCCGCGATGTATTTCCGCACACCATGCTAGGATTCCGTCGCAATCTCTCCGCACAAGACGCGTTGCTTCAGCTGAAGCACCACATTGTTGATGACATTACCAGCTCAACCAAGGCGATCCTTGGCCTAGATATTAAAAAGGCCTTCGACAGCGTTAAACACGAAGCAATTTTACACAGAGTTCAAACATTAGGACTAGGACAAAAAACATATAATTACATACGTGACTTCCTTGCCGGCAGACGCGTACGCGTCGTCGTTGGAGATGTGGAACTGCAAGAATTTGAGTTGGGCTCGAGGGGCACGCCACAAGGCTCCGTAATTTCGCCATTACTCTTTAATTTAGTTCTATTGGGGCTACCCGAGAAATTATTAGGCATACAAGGATTGTATCACAGTATCTACGCGGATGACATCACCCTCTGGGTTCCCGGCGGAGGTTGTGATGGTCACGTCGAGCATACGCTCCAGGCAGGTGTAGACGAAGTTCAGGAGTACTTGCGAGGAACGGGCCTCGAATGCTCGGCAACCAAGTCGGAACTTCTAATCTACAAACCTACAAGTAGAGGTCGCAAAACCCCGCGCGACGAGGAAAGGGAGTGCTACAAAATAAGCGTTCTATTGGCAGATGGCACTCCCATTCCACACGTAGACAAAATTAGAATTCTGGGGTTACACCTGCAGGCAAACGGCCATAATGGTGAGACGGTGCGAAGACTACGTAGTTCGGTAGACGACACGATCCGACTCCTACGTCGTATCACGAACAGACGTACTGGTATGCGCGAACACTGCGCGATCCGTCTAGTGCAGGCGTACGCAATAAGCTGTATAACATACGTTGCCCCCTACCTCAAATTGCTAGGCTCAGAAAAAAACAAGATCGAATGTATAATACGAAAGGCTTTCAAGAGAGCAATTGGAGTTCCACTGAATGCGAGCACTGAAAAGTTACTAGAACTTGGACTGCACAACTCACTCGACGAGTTAATTGAGGCCCATGTCGTTTCGCAAAACGAACGCTTGTCGGGGTCTAAGACGGGTCGACACATCCTCGAGTCACTTGGCATCCGGTACCACACTCAGCAGGGAGAAAAAGCGGATGTTCCTGCCTCGGTTCGCGACCGCCTAATTGTTCCGCCGCTTCCTAAGAATATGCACCCGACGCACCACGTCGGGCGCCGTAACCAGCGAGCTAGTGACCTTCAAAAGAAGTACGGCACTAGCGACGAAGTTGTGTACGTAGATGCCGCGAGATATGGGGACGGGAGACACGCACACGCCGCTGCGGTCGTTGACCGTGCGGGCAAATGCCTCGCGAGCGCCACGGTGACCACGGGACATACGGAGGCGGCCGAAGAAGCCGCGATAGCCCTAGCAATCGCCACGGTGCCGAACGCTACGATCGTAATCAGCGACTCGCAGGCAGCAATCCGCGGCTTCGCGCGCGGCCGCGTCTCGCGGGAAGCGGCCCGTATCCTTAAGAGGTGCGGTGATGGTGACTCAGCGTCGCGATCGCCACAACAAAATTTAAGTCTTCCTCCTTTGGACCCCGGCACACACCGATGTCCCGCTTCCGGGCAACGAGGCGGCCCACGCCGCGGCTCGAGGTCTCACTCGCCGAGCCGCGGCACATTCCGTGGCCGCCGCCTCCGCTGCCGAGAGCGGGGCTTCTGATCTGCCGGATCGAGACACTATGACAGACACGCAGCGACAACACAGACCACAATGGTCGTGGGGTGATCGTCTCATCACGTTCCGAGATATTACGCAACACTACAGACTGGAAAGGCGAAAGTTCCCGCCACCGCATGACAAATTAAACAGACACGATGCCGTAAGCTATCGCTTACTACAAACCCACTCTTACCCCAGCCCGGTCGTCTTACGCCACTGCTACCCGCACTTACACATTACCGATCTATGTAAAGCATGCGGGCACAGAGCAACGCTGCGCCACATGCTCTGGGAATGCGCCGATAACAATGGTCGAGAAACGGCCGCCGTTCGCGATGCGCCTATGGCGGCTGCCAATACCAGGCAACAGGAAGCCTCGAGCTCACTCGTTTCGCCGCCGTCCCGTCTGCGGGGGTCGCGGGGGACCTTCTCCGTCGGCGCCGCCGCCGCTGGGAGGCGGCGCTCAGAAGCTCGGAGCTCAACGACCAGCTCTGGGCTGTCCGGCAGGCCGAAGATGCCGCCCGAGTTCAGGGACTCAGCGCCACCATCTGAGGCCACCAAGACCAAGCTGCCGGCCAAGTTCTAATAAAGTTTCCTCTCTCTCTCGTGCTGGAAGTATTGAGGCTGGGGTACTTAAGCTGCCACTCAGTACATTGCCTAGTGGCTCTTAAGGGCTGTAGTTTGCACGGTTTTGTGGCAAAACCGGGATCAGGAATTGCTACACTGCACCCAAAGTTTTCAAATTAACCAGACTGGTGCTGACCGCCGCTTCAAATTATCCACTCAAACTTATATTGCAAAATACGGGACTGCTGAAATACTTCAAATTAAGTGAGATTTCAAAATAACCAAGTTCGAATTAATGAGGTTTTACTGTACACCATGTAACATCACGAGTACAAAGGGTTGTCCAGCGATGATCTTCATCATGAACCCAGAGATGACGGTGCGCAGAACATCTAACAGAGAGCTCAACGAAGGAAATGAATAGAGGTGCGAGGCACGCTTCACGATTATCGGGATGGACACTTCGCACTTCTATAGTCCTATGATTGAGTTTCAAGGGGCATCTGCCAAGGCGTAATTATCGTCAACCCACGAACACAGAACGATTGCGAAAACATCACTTATACACTAAGTCGTGTGAATTTCAACAGCTGACCAATGGCGTGGCAAGCCAGAGCATCATGGCAGCCGCTTCCAACTGGGGCCTCAAAACGGCCTTCAGACATTTTATTTGCTTTTTGTGCACTTGTATTTAAAGGGAAAAACCGGTTGAGGTACAGATTTTGAGCAAGAAATTTTTCTTTCCAACAAGTCCAAGATTACTGTGCCTGGTTGCCCTATTGTAGAGCAAGAATTTTTGAAAAATGCGTTCTATATAAAGATTTTTTAAAAGATTTCGGCAATAACTTTCACCACCTATGCGAATGCAACAATTTTTAAAAGACCTTCTGCGTGGTTTTCAGCGAAGATAACATTGAAGTAGATAGAAGAGGGGCTACAGAAACTGGAAAGATTTTTAGAAAATAAAATGTTTTCCCCTTTTTTCACGATTTGACCTTCATGTACTCCCCCTTAAAGGCTTCATGATCGGAGCTTTCCCTTTTGCTGCGGGCTTACAAGCCGACAGACTACTCTGTGCACAATGCACAACAGAAGTGAGACACACCAGTGAAGAAGTCGAAGGCGTCCTTCTGGAAGGCGAGGTAGAGGGCCTCGAAGGCCTTCCACATGTCGGCCGAGAGGGGGCCCCGGCAGGAGAGAGAGTAGAGCAGAGAGAGGGCCTCCTCGTAGAACTCCAGCAGGGACTGCCCCAGCACTTGACCCACCAGCAGCTGCAGCAGGGTGGGCTCCAGCATGGCCACCAACTCACGCTGCTCCTCCAGCACTGTCACCAGGGTGTCCAGCGTGTTGAGCACCCCCATGGCCACCATGGCCTTCTCATCACCGTCCCCACCAGTTTCCACCACTTGGGTGAACGTAGCTACCTGCAAGTAGAGTGTGCAGTCAGGAGGGGGCCCACATTCACAACCAACTGCAATGACTTATCCTCCTTATGGGGGCTGCACTATATTTTGACACTGAAAGCTCAGCCATGGTAGTGCAGCTCACGTGTAACATATAGCATTTTTAGCACTCCACAGCCTTTGATGTTTCCCCCATCTTAGATTAAAACTTCTAGTCTTCTGGCAGCCATTAGTGTGCCAAAACAAGCTGCACCCTCATTACCACAATAGCCACACACAGAGTAATGTCACTGACATAACAGGCAATTGGGTATGAGAGATACCAGTGTGGCTATTAAGAGAACATGAGAATCCGGCACCCTACTTGTAAGAAGGACACCTCTTGTAGGGGACAAGAACTGCTCCCCAGTGGATTTCAAGTGCAATGCACACCCAAACTTTCTGCAAATCCTTTTTATCACTATTCATGCATATTACACAGTATTGATCACTCATAACGTAAGTGTCGAATATCCGCACTGTTACCAAAACAACCTTTCTCAAGTGCTACAAGAGCACAAAGCTTGCTGAGTAAGCAGCACCGTGTGCCTGAGAATCGAAGCATGCAATGCCTGGTGTTTACAACCTTTTAAATTTCTGAATGTCAAGAGTATTTCATGTCCAAAGACATGCGTTACCAATGAAATGAACACGAAGAAGAGGGGGGAAGGGGGGGCGGCTCTAACAAGAGAAACTGTCATCACTGAAATTGACCGACTGCCTCTCCGACCGCTTTAACTATGCACATTACTACGAATGTCGAATCACGTCTGGAATTTCGTACTCTGGAAGATGCCAATAGATGCCACGTGTAGAAGTGCTACACGTGCCACTTTCAATTTCATTCAACAATGTTTCCCTTCCCTTCAAGTGCCACAACCACAAAGAATTTGTTAATTACGGACCAAACCGCAACTTCGATTGCCAAGACCGCTATCGCAATGCCACCAATGCCGATTAGGCCTAGCCAACTGTTTCGTATGTTGTCACAGGGAGATAGTCCAAGACATCAAGATCAGACGTCGAAATGACTGCACTCAATACTGAACCGAAAACAGTGTCCGTGATACGAAGTTCGTGTTTACAGCTGGGAGATAAAGGACCGAAAACCGCCAAGCTTACATCAGACAGCAAACTGGCAGCAAAGGTCGTAAGAGTTTTAAAGTCGTAAGAGGTTTTAAATTTACGGGTGAAGCAGCAAACACGATATCTGTAGCAAGCATGATAACGACGCTTTTCCTGGCAGAAAACTGTTATGCGCAACTGGTAGAGGCAACATCACAAGTGCCATGTTAAGCCGTGCGCGGCTGTAGCCATGCTAGTGACTCTAACTGCCGCGTTGGTACCAGTGCAAGAGAGAGAGAGAGAAGTCAACGTTTATTTTCGAAACAGTGCCCCGAGCAATGCCCGATGTCACCCTGAGGTGGGAGGGCTCCTTCGTCCAGGAACCCCCTGGCTTCTACTGCCCTCTTGGCCCTGGCGATGAGTTGTTGTTGGTCTTCCAGGTCCTCGAGGGCGAGCTTCGCCTCCCACATTTCGGTTAGGTCTTCGTTCGTCCGTCCTGCTTCACTCCTGTGTTGTTGCAGATTACGCCTGGCAATACACTGGCATGCAAGAAGGAACTGTGCCAGGGTGTCCAGTACGCTGTAGAGCGGGCACATATACCTATATCTCGTTGGGTAGAGACGGTGCATTAGGGCCCCATGTGTGTATGTGCTGCTTTGCAAGCATCTCAGTATCATGCTTTCCTTTTCTTTTTTTTTTTTTTTTCAGTTTTGGGTGTGGTGGAGGGTATACTCGTTGCTCCAGCCTGTAATGCTGGAGTAATGACGAATAAGTGTTTCAACAACTTCCGTAACTTCAACGACGAGTCGGATGTCCTGTGGGCAGGGGGCAGCCCGGCTGACGTCCTCGCGGGCAGCAGTGTGGGCCGCTTCATTTCCCTGCAGACCCTCATGTCCTGGCAACCATAATATACAAGTGTATAAGAGTGGAGTGCTTCGCCATTTCAAAATATTGATGGCACTGGCTGAGATGCGGCCTTAAGCGAAATTTCTGTAGGCGGCTTGCGAGTCGGTGAAGATCACCGCGGCGTCTGTAAATGTGGTGGTTGCTAGAGCGATTGCCGATTATTCTGCTGCATCTGAATTGAGTGCGTTGACCGTGGCCGACGCTAAAGGTTCGTTCACACCGAAGGCGGGGCGGCCAAAGCGGCGAGGCGGCAACGCGCAAAGTGGGAAAAACCTCCTCTCCAGGAGGCAAAAACGGCAGAAAAACCAGGCGGCAAGGCCGATTGCTCTCCGAGCAATTTTTTGCCGCCTGCCGAGGCTCGCCGCTTTGCCGCAGCTAATCAGAACGCCACGCAGCGGAGACGCGGGTGTAGGTTTGGGAGAAGCACTGACACGTCATAGCGACACGAGTGCAAAATCGCGAGATGCCCGCCTCTTCTGCTGCGCGGCCAGACGAAGGAGGCATGTGGTCTGAACAGGTTCACGCACTCGCCGTCTCGCCGCTTTGGAAATCCCACTTCGCCGCTTTGCCGCGCCGCCTTCGGCGTGAATGAGCCTTAATTCTTGGCCTTGAGAATCTACGACGCTGCCAGCGTATGCATTTCTATGCGGATACTTGGCCGCGTCAGTGTAGCGGGCGTCCGGGTCAGGCTTGAACTTTCGTTGAATAGCGTCAGCTCTAGCCTTGCGTCTTCTTTTGTGGAAAATAGGATGCATGTTGCGTGGAATAGGTGCCATGGACAGCAACTCCACAATGTAGAGCGGGATGCGCTTTTTCCTGTCTGCATCGGCGATGAATGTGTCTCTGTAGTTGAGGTACCGGAGCACCGACCTCCCCATGGGCGTCAGCTTGAGCCTCTCCAGCTGGCTGTTCTTATGCTGCTTCGGCGAGCTCTTGCCACGTGTTGTGGACCCCCATCTTTAGGAGACGTGGTAGAGGCCATTGGAGGAAGTCCCAGGGCTACTTTAGTGGCCTTTCTTATCATGATATCAAGTTTTTCTATTTCAGCTGTTTTCAAATTCAGGTATGGCATGCCGTACATAATGCGGCAGGTGAACAGAGTTTGCATTATACGTACCGTGTCCTGCTCTTTGAGTCTGTTTCGTTGATTCGTGATCCTTTTGACGAGGTGCGTGAGTTGTGGTAGTGTCTGCTGGAGTCTCGGTAAGGTGGCAGCTCCCGATCCATCCTTGTAGATGTGAACTCCAAGCACTGGCAGGGTCTCAACTTTTGCAATTAATGTTTAATTCAGTATTACGCTAGGATCGGGCTCGTCATACAGAGGGGGTCTGCCTTTTGTTATCCGTTTGAGGACGAGGTGCTCGGGTTTCTCGAGGGCACAGCAGAGACCGCAGTTTCGGAGACACCATTTGATGGTATCTACGGCGGTTTGTGGGCAGGTCTCTTGTCTCCCAGTGTTCAAAGCCCTGGTTCAGAGCGTGATGTCATCAGCGTAGATCGCGTGCCGTAAATCTCGTATTTTGTCGAGAATCTTTGGCAGATTGATCATGGCCACTTTGAAAAGTAACGGTGAGAAGATCGAACCATGCAGCGTGCCTTTTTTTTGGTAGTTGGAAGATTTTGCTGCGTTTGTTGCATATGCCCACAGTTGCTGTACAATCCGTCAGAAAGTTTCTGACAGCACCGGTGTAAAGGCTTATTTTTTGCCGAGGCTACCCCCCCTCCTCCCTTTTGTCGAGAGGCCGTGCATTGTGGAATGGCCCTCTTTCCGTTTCCTTTTTTTTTTCCCCATCGTCCTTCATTCCACTGTAACGACCTCAGACATGCACTCGCAGCCACGATTGCCTTAAATATCTTCCAGCAACTGCATTATACCTGATCTCTCGATTTGGAAGGGCTGCACAATAAGCGGCATGCGTATACATGGGGTTTCATGTGAGGGTAAGTGAAAGTGAATTTTCACCACATTGTAATTGATCCTGCACTGTAAGCAGTTACGTTTTAAGTGGTCTACAATGTCCATGGAAAACCTGGCAACTATAGTGAAACCTCATTAGAAACCTCATTACCCGCTTTAAGCGTACAAACGGCAGAAACGTAGTTGCGATGAATCCTTCCCCGAGTCTCATAGAGACTAATGCATTTGCAACCGCTTAAGCCGTAGTGGTTCATCTTATGCCTACCGGTTAGTGCGTACCAACTGCATATTGCGAGATAACATTTCGCGCCATAAAGGTTCATCGTGCTGCTTAACTTGCAGACACCACAATGTGCTGGAACGGTGTTTCATCATGTTGATAAGCGTGAAGATCAGCCAATCAGTTATTCCGGCTTCTGTTTAATTGAGGCGCTAATTTTGCGAGTAATCACCAGGAAAAAATGAAGGCGAGGTGGCGACCACCCACAAACACACCGGTATGACTTATCACCTCGAAAAGCCTTAACACAATAAGCGTCATCATCAGCCTGCCTACGTCTAATGCAGGACAAAGAACTTGCCCATGTTCAGCCAGTCAACTCAGTCCTGTGCTTGATCCTACCACTTCATACCCGCAAACTTCCTAATCTAATCTGCCCACATAACTTTCTGTGTCCCCTTCACCTGCTTGCCTTCTCTAGGGATCCAGTCAGTTACCCTCAATGACCAGGGGTTATCTTACCTATGCGCTAGCATGCCCGGCTCATGCCTATTTCTTCTTTCTCATTTCAACTATAATATTCTTAACCCCGGTTTGTTCTCTTATCCACTCTGCTCTCTTCTTGTTTCTTAAGGTTACACCTATCATTTTCTTTTCCATTGCTTGCTGCATCATCCTCAACTTGAGCATACCCGGCTATCTGCTCGGGCACACGTGTGGCACAGCACCACTTTAAGTCTACTGCACGCTTTTAATAGGCGACTATCTGAACACGCTGCACAGCCGATCGATGCTACTTTATTGTGCAGGACTGTGTTCAAGCGCGCACTGCTTTACAGAAAAGCAAGCAGCTTGCATTGCAGGTTACGAGCA